AATAATGGCTTTAGTTTCCAGCACTGTGGCAGACTAAACACCTGGAATGATTCACTTAATGGAAACAACTAAAATGTTGTATAAAGTAATATAATCTTTTAAAATGTATTGCTAAGGTGCTATGAAAACAAAGAATCCACCAATTCTAAAAAAGAAGTAAAAACAGAAACTCTGGATTAATCTGATAGGCAGATTTTGGTTCTCATGATTTCTACCCCCTGTTCATACTCTAGTGTTATATTACATGGAAAAAACAGACTTTGCAGATGAAATTAAATTTACTAATCAGTTTACCTTAAAACTGGGAGATTATCCATGAGTCCTTAAAAGCAAAAGCGGAAGGCAAAAGAGTTTGTGACATGTGGCAGAAAGGAAAGTCAGAAAGATTTAAAATGTAAAGATTTGGCCAACCATTCCTGGCTTGAAGCTGGGTGGAGCCATAACAAGGAATGTCGGTAGATTCTATAAGTTGAAAATGACTCCAATGACTATCTCTCTATATAAAGAGATAAGCCAACAAGATAAAGAGACTTTAGTGAGTCCTACAACTGCATGAAATGGGATTCTACCAACATGTGGGAACCTGGAAGTGAATTCTCCTCTAGAGCAGTGGTTCTCAACCTTCCTAATGCCACGGCCCTTTAATATAGCTCCTGTGGGTCATGATCCACAGGTTGAGAACTGCTGCTCTAGAGTCTCCAGATAAAAATCCAAGCCAGCCAACACCTTGACTCTGACCTCGCAGTAGAGAACTCAGGTGAGCCTGTCCAGACTTCTATGCTACAGAAGTGGGATAAATAAGTGTCCTGCTAAGCTAGTAAATTTGTAACACAGCAACAGAAAACTAATAAACAAGGCAACTGAGTAAAAATACTAGCTTTTACCTTGAGGGTTTCTACTAAATCTGGAAATCTTGAGCATTAGCTATGATGGATACAGGAGATGAGACAGACCCAAGGTGGTGAAATGTAACTGGAAACCCCTTCATAAAACTGAAATCTCAAAAGACTATACTGTCAGTATAAAGACATGTATTAACTAAAAGATACTCTAATGTAAATTTCAAGGCATATGAAATTTAATTAAATTCCCATGAACTAAGTGGTAAGAAAGGCCAAATTATGAGATTTCTTTCTTTTAATGTTCTCCCTATATTTTCTTTATTCCATCATCTGTATCTCAGAAACTGACATAATTTTATATCATATCTAGTAAAAGTAAAAGAACTATATATAACAGCTTCTACATATTTACTGTCACTTAAGAAACTTCAGGTTTAGTGTTTTATACATAAAACACTACATAGAGAGGAGGCAAAGTATTTTTCAACTACATTGCAATACAGCTTACAAGAAATCTCTGAAAATCAAGAATGAGGAGCAGTGCTCTGAATGATAAGCTAACTTTAGCATTATTCTGAGAGGCAATATGTGTTGGGAGAAAGATCGTATTAATTTAGGTAAAAATGGGCTTGGCGAAGGAAGCATAGTGATTATGGTGCCAGCTACATATACTGAAGTTGGCAGGTTCGAACCCAGCCTGGGCCAGCTAACCAACAATGACAACTGCAACAAAAAAATAGCTGGGTGTTGTAGGGGGCACCTGTACTCCCAGCTACTTGGGAGGCTGAGGCAAGAGAATCACTTGAGCCCAAGAGCTTCTGAGGTTGCTGTGAGCTGGGATGCCGCAGCACTCTACTGAAGCCGATATAGTGAAACTCTAAGGAAAAAAAAATTTAGGTAAAAATGGAGGATATATACTGATTGTTTCTGTCTCCTTGTTATCCAGTCAAAAATTTAAGAAAATATAATTTAGGACCCTTAAAACACTTAAAAAATTGTTTTAAAAAGTAGAGACAGGGTCTCTTGTTGTCCAGGTTAGAGTACAGTGGAGCATCATAGCTCACTGCCCAACCTTGAACTTCTGGGCTCAAGTTCTCTTCCTGCCTCAGTTTTCCAAGTTGCCATCCTCCTACCTCAACCTCCTGAGTAGTTAGGACTAAAGGCACATGCCACCATGCCCAGCTACTTTGGTGGGTGGGGAGAGAGGAGGTCCTGCTATATTGTATTAGCTGGGCTCAAGTGATCTTCCTGCCTTGGCCTCCCAAAGTGCTGGGATTATAGGCATGAATCACTGTGCCCCACCTAACTCCTAAAATTCTTCTGTCCCTCTTTGTACAAAAATACACATACTATCACCATAAAATCTCACTGTTATATTAAGTGCCTTCGAATCAATTAACTGTACAGGTGGTAATGATTTAAATAATCTAAATTTAGAATCAATAAATCAGTTTTACCTGTTTTTTTATAACATGGGCACAAAAGTACATTATCACTTAGTTCTAAATCCATACTATATAAGTATCTTAACATCTTTATTATACAAAGATCAGTACAAAACAAAATTATTTTATACTTAGTTATTTTATGAGTTTTAAGACAGAAACAAATACATAGAATTAGTTTTTCAAACCTGTTTTGATGTGAGTATCTTTTCGTATCTTCTGTTTTTTGAAACTCCCTAATGGGAACTGGCTTTACTGGTAAACCCTAGGCCAAAAAGGCAGAAATAAATCAATTTAACATGAGAATCCAGAATACCATGATTACATAGTTTACATTAAACTGTCATTTAGGGATTTATACATTAGACTAATAATAATCTTCAAATCAAACTTTATGTTTAAAAGAAGTAGAGGCTGTATTACCACTTTCATATACAAAAAGTTATAATCTACAAATTTATTTTATTTTTTTAAAAAGTTCATTTCTGTCTCACTGAAATATATAGTGACCAAACATAGTAATATTTCCTGAATTATAAGATGTTAAAGTTGAAAAAGATCTCAGAGGTCACCTAGTACAAACTTCCATCTAGAACAGAAATTCCTATCTATGCTACCCTGACATTCACAAAGTTTCTCTAGTCATAGGGAGTACACTGGGCACGTTACTTTTCTTTGCTTCTTCATCAACACAAATTATCTCTTATCATAGTCATATGAATAGTCCTGAGGATGATGGTGGAATATCATGATAAAATAAAAAGTAATTTCTATTTATGGGAAAGTACAGTATTTATAAGAGAAATACTACTGACAATTTAACTTATTTATAAACTAAAGGGTAAACATCATTCATTTTCAAGAAGTATTACTGAAGAAACTGGCTTTAGTGATATAGACCACACACTGAAAAATAAAATTATAAAGCAAAGTAAAGGCTTAAAGGTTATCACAGTACACATTTTGTCAAATGAATATCTACAGAAGCAGGCTTGGGGCAGTGGCTGCCTGTAATCCTAGCACTTTGGGAGGCTGGGTGGGAGGATCATTTGAGGCCAGGAGTCAAACCAGCCTGGACAATACAGTGAGATCTTTGTCTACAAAAAAAAAGAAAAAGAAAAAAAAAATGTCCCATCCCCCCGCCCAAAGAAAAAGCCCAACAAATTAGCCAGGGATGTACAAATCCTAGCTACTCAGCAGAGTAAGAGAGGAGGATTACTTGAGCCTGAAGTTTGAGGCTATAGTGAACTATAATTGAGCCACTGCATTCTAGCCTGGGCAACAAAACAAGCAAGACCCTATCTCAAAAAAAAAAAGAGAGAGAGAATTCCTTTAAAGATATAATATGCAATTGTTAATTTTATTGTAAAAGAGTTGCCCTTTGCTCCAGCAAGAGAGCTCATAGCCTGTACGACCTTAGTTTCATCAATCACCTGGTACTTTGCTGTCTCTGAGTTGCAGGATTTTGACTTATATGACTTTATCCTACTTTAAATACAAGAGTATCTCCAAAATACAAACAAAAAATACTGTTTGAAAGCCTTCAGGTAGGAAAACCAAAAGTTTTCTTTTTTTTTAAATAATGATAATATCACTCTACAACGTATCCTACTAAAAGTGATTCTTCTCTATTTCTAAAAGGCTAAATACATCATTCTCTAAAAAGGACACAAGTGTTTCTTGAATAACCGCTGCTCAGAGTCTGGGACCAACTCCAAATATCCACATCACAAATGCGAAAGTGGAGCTATTTTTTAATGCTGACTTGATATACCGAAGAATGCTACTCTATTTGAGAGCATTCCTTGGGGAATTGGCAGAGATTCTACAGTGGGCTGAATGCTCATTTGTTTTCTAAGGAAACTCAATGCTCTACTATAAGAGACACTCAAGAATTTTAATAGCAAACAATTTACATTCTGTGTGACTTAGCATAAAAGCTTTAATATAGTTAAGCTTATTATTAAAAGTCTATGATTAAGTTTGTATATAGTCCCCAAAAGCCAACTTTTTGGTTTAATTCTTAATTAATTACTGATCAAATTATTATTTATCAGCTGGAAGCAATAAAGCAGTAATAACAACAATGAAAGGTATCATATTCCTTTGAATTTCATTCAAAGTCCTTAGTTAACTCTTATGACTTCTTTTATTCCTTCTTTGAAATTCTGAGCTTTGCCTTCTTATTTAAAAAATAAACCTAAACCCCACTTGAGACTATTTTTCTGGATAAATATGAAATGACTAAAATTGGAAGTGAACATAAAATAATTAGGCTCAAACCAACAAATCACTGATATGACAAAAATTTATATTATCATGAATTATTTTTACTAGGGGATAGCAACATATTTAGGCTTAAATGAGTATACTACCTCATGAGAGATTTGCCGTTGTTCAATATATGCCATAAATTGTGAACTAAGGCTGTCTGAGTCCAGGCCCTTGAGCTGTTGCACCTCCTCCTCTTCTTCCTCTGCAGTACAGCTGTCAATGTAGTCTATCTGATCCACATCATGTTCTACTGTACATACACACACACAGAAGAAACATTCAAATTAGACAGTCAGTAAAAGACAATAACTTGTTGTATTCCCTTTTCCCTTATACTGTCTATTTTGAAAGTGGGACAAATGATAAAAATGTTTAAATTACATAAGCCTTTATTATTTAGCTCATGACTACTCACAGGAATGGTCTCCAGAAAACCTTAGTCCTAATTAGACCACAGTCTAGAAAATGTAGTAATTGAAAACAAGTATTGAAATATAGACTGCTAAGTTTTGTTTTTTTTTTCCTTTGGAGAGCTCCTTATTGTTTTCAACAACACAGTTTGAGTTTGTGAGACAAAGACAGAGGAAGGTTTATTTTTAAAGACTAAAAGATGCATCTTCCTTTACAACGTCATGCTTTGGGTTTTGAGTTTAAAAATATGTACTTCTTTAAGGAGATGGGAGGCAGAAAATCTAACAGTAGATTCAAAAGAAAGTTAGCAATAAAAAAAGAGAAAAGATAGGCATAAACTGGACTTGGGAGAGAAAGAAATAGTTCTTGACTACTATTTCCCTTCCTGTAACTGTTGTCAGTTAAACTTTTTTTGAAAATCATGATTTAAACAAAAATTTTTCTATTCAAACAACTACTTGGTAGAGGTCAGCACTGTAGATACTTTGTAATAGTTTGCAGATGGAAGGGAATCATTTAAGGAATTCTTTTCCTCAAAATCCTTTAGGGTAAGGAAAAATACATAAATAAGATAAAAGAAATAGCACATTGTTTCATCTGGAGAACTTGGGAATGCCCCATTATTTTTAAGTTTTAAAGTCCTTATTTTTAAGTTAAAAAAAATTGTTTTTTTTGAGACAGAGTCTCAAGCGGTCACCCTGGGTAGAGTTCCATAGTGTCATAGCTCATAGCAACCTCCAACTTGGGCTCTAAGCAATCCTCTTGCCTCAGTTTTTCTGTTTTTTAGTAGAGACAGAAACGATTCTCGCTTTTTGCTCAGGTCTGGAACTCATAAGCTCAAGCTATCCACCCACCTTGGCCTCCCACAGTGCTAAGATTACAGGCATGAGCCACCTCACCTGGCCTAAAAAAACATTATTTTCAACAACTACTTAAAATGGCACACTAGAAAAAAAAAACTTATTACTAAAATGGCTTCTCCAGAGATACATTAAGCCCCAGCCAATTATTTTATAAAGTGCTACAGACTGCCTGAAGTTGTAGTTCTGGAAACAGTGACTAAGGAGGTCTATTTCTCAATTTCTTCTTCTGATTCAAAATTTCTAAATAATTCCAAAATTGCAATTAATATAAAAATGAATTTTTCATTATCAGAGTTTATTAATAGCTAAAAAGGATAGGTTATAAGTCTGTGCCTGCACTAGAAATCAGGTACATAATTGCACTTCTTCAATGTGTTACAATTTGTCTGACTAAATTAATGGTTTATGTTATTACCATTTCCCAAGAAAGCAATAACACTTCTTCATACTATTTAGGCCAGTGTGGCCCAGAAGAAAAGGAATCCAAGCCACAAAAGTGAACCACACATGTAACTTAAAAACTTCTAGTAGTCACATTTTTTTTTAAAGAGGATTGGGGGGGGGTCTCAGTATATTGTCCAAGATGGTCTTAAACTCTGGGCCTCAAATTATCCTCCTGCTTTAGCCTCCAACTGGGATTATAGGCATGAGTAATCACTGCTGACTTAGCAGCCACGTTTTTAGAAAAAGTAAATAGAAAAGGTGGCATTAATTTTTTTTTTTTTTTGAGACAGAGTCTTACTATCTCACCCTTGGTAGAGTGCTGTGGCATCACAGCTCATGGCAACCTCAAATTCTTAGGCTTAAGCAATTCTGTTAACTCAACCTCCCAAGTAGCTGGGACTATGGCACCTGCCACAATGCCTGGCTAGTTTTTGTTGTTGTTGTTGTCATTGTTGTTTAGTAGGCCCTGGCCAGGTTTGAACCCACCAGCCCCAGTGTATGTGGTTAACCACTGAGTTATGGGTGCTGAGCCAAGATGATATTAATTTCATTATTATTTTGAGACAGAGTCTCACTATGTGATCCCTGGTAGAGTGCTGTGGTGTCACTGTTTACAGCAATGTCAAATTCTCGGGCTTAAGTGATTCTCTTGCCTCAGCCTCCTAAGTAGCTGGGACTACCAGCGCTCACCACAATGCTGGCTATTTTGTTGTCGGCGTTGTTGTTCTTGTCATTGTTGCTTAGCAGGCCCTGGCTGCGTTAGAACCCACCAGCCCCAGTGCATATGGCTGGTGCCCTAACCACTCAGGTATAGGCACTGAGCCAGTTTATTTTGGCTAATGTACCTAAATATTATTTCAAGATATAATCAATATAAAATACTACTTTCTTATTTTTTTTTAAATATACAAGGTCTAGGCTCTATTGGCCTGGCATGAGAGTACCGGCAAAATCATAGCCATAGTAGCCTCAATATCCTGGACTCAAGTGACCCTCCTACCTTAGTTACCATGGGCCACCATGCTGGCTAATTTTTAAATTTTTTTGCAGAGGTGGGGTCTTACTATGTTGTCCAGACTGGCCTTGAACTCATGGTCTCAAGCTATTCTCCCTCCTCAGCCTCCCAAAATGTTGGGATTACAGGAATGAGCCACTGCTCCTGGCCAGGTATTTTATATTCTTTTTTCTATATAAAGTCTTCAGAATCTAAGGTGTATTTTATACTTCAACAATTTATCTCAATTCAGAAAAGCCACTTCAAATGCTCAATATCCGGCTCGGTGCCCATAGCTCAGTGGTTATGGCGCTGGCCTACACTGCAGCTGGTGGGTTCAAACCCGGCCAGGGCCTGCTAAACAACAATGACAACAATAACAAAAAAATAACCGGGTGTTATTTATGGCAGGCACCTGTAGTCCCAGCTAGTTGGAAGGCTGAGGCAAGAGAATCACTTAAGCCCAAGAGTTTGAGGTTGCTGTGAGCTGTGACGCCATGGCACTCTACGGAAGGCCATATAGCGAAACCTCTGTCTCAAAAAAAAAAAAAAGAGCAAAGCCAGATACACACAAAAGGAGTGACTGTGAGAAGGACCACTTAAAAAAGTTAAGTGAATATAAATAAAGACTTTATGTCATGCAAATTACGTTTACCTCCACCATTTGTCACTACTAAACTGTTACGATTCTCTTGGTACTGGCTTTCTCTTCTCAGTCTTTGTTCTTTAGTAATCTCTGCTACTCGAAGAGGCAGATCTGAAAATTCATCTGTAGGCTTAAAAAAGTAGCAAAAACATTTTAATAAATCATTTCAATTTTTAGACAATGCAAGCATTTAAAATATGGGTACGATATAAACTCACTAAAATTTATTTTTAGGAAGAAACAGCAGAAAAGTTCAGGAGATGGAAAATGGTGATGGATGCCTGACACTGAGAATGTACTTAATACACGTGAAAACTAAACTTAAAAATGGTTGAAAAGGTAAGTTTTATGTTATAGATCTGTCTTGCCATAATTAACAAAATGAAGAAATAGAAGGATATTCGTGACTCTATAAATAGAATACATACATAGATTTAAAGTATCCACATATATGCCTGTATGGAAACAGCTATACTGACTGCCCAGACAGACATACATGAACAATTACAAATTATAAATGGGCTGTGGTCTAAAATTTTTTTTTTTGAGACAGAGTCTTACTATGTCCACTTCGTTGCCCTTGGTAGAGTGCTGTGGCATCACAGCTCACAGCAACCTCAAACTCTTGGGCTTAAGTGATTCTCTTGCCTCAGCTTCCCATGTAGCGGGGACTACAGGCGTCCACCACAATGCCCAGCTATTTTGTTGTTGTTGTTGTAGCTGTCATTGTTTTTAGTAGGCCTAGGCCAGGATTAAACCCAACAGCCCTGTTGTATGTGGCCGGTGCCCTAAACACTGAGCTACAGGCACCAAGCCTGTGGTCTAAAATTAATTTGCTTGGACTCCTAATGAAACCATGTTATAAATGGTAGGTTATTGGTCTTGTATACAAAACTTATTTAATAATAAGCTTATTTAATAATTTAACCCAATTTATAGTTACAATGTTAAACAGCAGTAATTTTAAAAAGAATAAGATATAATCCCAAAAGTTAAACAGAAAAATGATATAATTAGCTAGGAAAATTATTTATCTTCAGCATATATTCTTTACTAAAGTTCTTGTCTCCTTACCTGTCAGCCGATAAGTCCTGTTACCTCACATATTACTTCCCCTTCTACTACCTCTGCTCAAAATTACCCAGGCCCTTAAATTTTAGGCTTTATTTTTAACTGGTTCAGCTGTTTGGCTTTTCAGGATATGAAACTATTTATATAAGACAAAGTAGTAACATAAAAATATACGTGATAAAAAGATGGTAAAGAAATAGAATACTGTTTTTGGTGGTAGGACGATGTGGGATTTTTATTTTTTTGCAGTTTTTGGCCAGGGCTGGGTTTGAACCCACCACCTTTGGCATATGGGGCCAGCGCCCTACTCCTCTGAGCCATAGGCACCGTCCAGGACTATGTGGAATTTTTGCCCCTCCCTTAACTTTTCTATATTTTATGTAATGAGAAGTTAAATGCAATTAAGACCTTTCCATCTTTATCATTTTATCTTCCTTTAATTAAGAGTTGTAATTTCTAAAATAGAAGAAAAACTTACTTCATTCCCTGACCATCTCTTATCACCACTGTCCACACTATTGAAACCTGAATCGAGGGCTCCATAAGGGCGACTTGAGTACAGTTCTTCATGGCTGCCAAAAAGACACTTTGTTACTGCAAAGTTTGATATTTAAAAAATTTATGTTTGGGCCAACCATAGTGGCTCACACCGGTAATCCTCGTACTCTGGGAGGCAGAGAAGTGTGGATTGGACTGCTTGAGCTCAGGAATTCAAGACCAGCCTGGAGAAGACCAAGATCCTATCTCTACAAAAAACAGAAAAACTAGCCCAGTTCAGTGGTGGGTGCCTGTCGTCCCTGCTACTTAGGAGCCTGGGGCAAGAGGGTAACATAAGCCCAAGAGATTAAAGTTGCTATGAGGAGGTATACTACAGAGTGAACCTCTGTCTCCAAAATAATAATGAATGAAAATTAATGCTTGACATAAAACAGATGCAATTTTATAAAAATTGTCATGGTGCATTCTTTTAACTTTTAATATGAAAATTTTCAAATATAGTAGAACCTGTGTAGTTAACCACTTCCCTATTACAACCCTTCCTTATACTGACCAAATTTTCATAGACCCAGCATGCAGCACATGTACGTATCAGTACAATAGGCCTGGTTCCTTATGGGGACCACCTCTGTATGTTTACCAGTTTGTTTCAGTCCCTTGGGTGATCAACTTACAGAGATTCTACTGTAGACACAATGTAAGCAGAATAGTATGAGTCCCCCCAAGTACTCACTATCCAGCTTCAAACATATCACAATCCCTAACTCTTGTCAATGCCTTCTTCCATTCCCCATGTCCCTCAATTGTTTTTACTTTTAACAGTATTCTTTCTTGAGGTAAAATTTATATACATTGAAATGCATAGATCTTAGCTGTATGATTTTGACACCTCTATCATGATATAGGACATTTCTACTTTGCCTGTATCCCTTCACAATTAATTCCTCTGCTTCTGTCACTGGGTGCTCTACCTCAGAGACATACAATGTCTGATTTTTTTTCACTTTAGTGTGGAAGGCTAAATAATGGTTCCCAAAGATGTCCATGACCTAAGCCCTGGAACTTTTGAGTATGTTATCTTACATGGCAAAAGGAAATTAAGGTTGAAGATAAAAATAAAGTTGTTCATCAGCGGACTTTAAAATAGAAATTTATCCTGGCCTAAGGTAATCATGGAAGTCCTTAAAGTTCAAGGAGGAGGCAGAAGCTGTGTATGGTGGCTCACACCTGTGTCCTAACAGTCTGGGAGGCTGAGGTGGGTGGATTGTCTGAGTTCAGAAGTTCAAAAGGGGACCAGCCTGAGCAAGAGTGAGACCCTACCTCTAAAACATAGCTAGGCATTGTGGTAGGTGCCTATAGTCCCAGCTACCAGGGAGGCTAAGGTAAGAGAATCCCTTTGAGTTCAAGAGTTGAAAGTTGCTGTAGGCTTGGCGCCTATAGCTCAACCGGCTAGGGCGCCAGCCACGTACACCTAAGGTGGCGGGTTCGAATCCCCAGCCTGGACCTGCCAAACAACAATGACGGCTGCAACCAAAAAATAGCCGGG